TATATATATAAATAATTTAAGTGTAAAAATAATTATTATGTTCGACTGGTAGTTTCAGATAATTTAATATGTATGTGTCAGATATCTTAACTATAGACACCTTAATAATTTCCTTCCTTTCCAAGTCAAAAAATTAATTTCCTTTTGTTTCTTGAATGATACCCGAAGTACATTACTTCGAAGACTTCACCTGAATTACGGCAATTAATTACGTGCAACGAGATTGCAGCTATTAATTGCAGCCCGCTTGTCGCGCCGAGATCGGCTTATGCCCGGAGAAATTTGTCGTGAAAAGAGAGGAAATTGGACCGAGTAGTTTCCCCTCGGCGTCGAATGTGCTCCCCTCTTTCTCGAGCTAATCGGAAAACGTCTTCTACACGCTCATGGCGTCTGTTAAATCGTCACCGGCAATTTGGAGTATTCTTAGCCGAGAATTTCGAGATAACATCTGCATTTCGGTCGCGCATATTTTATTCGAAAGCAGGTAATTAAGAGATTGAAGCTAGCGATTAAAATTGCTGAAATTTCAATAAAATTTAATATCAACACTATAAATACAAATTTCAGTAATAAAATAATACATATAAATTGTCCGTTTTTGTAAAACAAATCGTGTTTAGTATCAACTTTCCGAGCTTGCTTAGATTGTGTCGATTTCAATCCCAGCATAGAACACGAAGAACTTATAGAAGGATTTCAAGGGATCGGTTGAGATAAATTGGGCCAGAATACATGGATCGAGGTTGGTGATAACATGATATACAATGCTCGTGCTGCTAAGTTGTCACAATGAACAACGAGACAGGCTTTTGGTGCTGGTGCAACTGATCGCTCAAGATTTGCTTAAAGTAGTTTTTAGAGGGAAAGGAGAGAATGAGTGAAGATTGACATTGTGCGTTATTCTTTTCAATGACAAAATGAGAGAAAGAAAGAACGAGGAGGGAGTGAATGACTTCTCGTGCGATTGATGGACAATTTTGACGTACTTGCTCCGATCAGTTCGTGCTCGAAAACTGCACTCATACAAGTGCCACGGATCTGTCAATTTTTTCATTCTATCAAATCGTTCCCGACTTCGAGTGCTACTTAAGTTACATAGACTCCTTCTAAGTTCTAAATCTAACAGGCATAAACACGAAAGTGCAAGAAGACCGAGCGAGTGAATGAATGCGATGTAGTTCGTGAAAAGCGTTAATTACTACTAATTTATCGCGATAGAACTATAATTGTAAGTGACACCTTTATCTTCTCTTGATTTCATAAAAATCCTTTTTAAATAAAATGCTAATTTACGTATACACTTTATTAAATTTCGCTGAAATTCACGGAATTAAATTCATGATCTATATAAAATCAATATTTAGTATTCGAAGAATTTGTCGTTTAATTGAATAGAGTAACAGATAACTTCTAAACGATTTTCTTTGACGTAAATTTCTGATTAACATTTTGGGTGCTTTTGCAAAATACAAACGCAGCAAAGCTGCAGAGGAACATAAGGAATATATAAATTTTGTAAAGAAATGACGTGGATGAAAAGCTATGTGTATGAGATGACCATCGTGACTAAATGAAAACGCGAACATGGTTCGTGGCAAAAGTGGGTCAAAAAGCGTGAGAGAAACAAGCTTGTTGGCGGTAACGGGCGAAATAATAACGGCTTTTCCGAACGACTTCGCATTTCGTGTATCATAAACGAAAGGAGAACACTATAAACGCGACAATGTATCTCGGAAAATACACGATCTAGGTCTGCTCTAAAGATCATCTAACACACGGATTGTGCAAAAGGCAGAGCGGATGTGGTAACGGCAACGTAATCACGCAATACTCAGGTGCTCAAAAACTCCTTTACGAGGCTAACAGTCTAAATATGCTCATTTCGCTAAGTGACAGTACAGCGGGGCAGCAACAATTTCTGAGTGAAAGTAAGCAATGGGGGGACGCTTCAAAAATTCACGAATTCCTGGACCATTCTTGGATATCAGATTTAATACGAGCCCCTGACTATTCGCGATTTTATCGACGAAAAATCGATATATGCGTAGAGACGATGTGTAAATTTCCACGTGAAACGATCAGTAATTGTTTGAAATATTCAAATGTGACACGTATTTATATTTGACAGGCAATTTTTAACACATAAATGACTGTGTAACACAATTTTTGTATAATTTTCGCCAAACTACGATTTTTCCGTAACCTGCGATAAAATACTACAGCCACCTTTTGGCATTATCCGGCGACATAAATTGTCGACTCTGTCGTATCACATTTTACTTCTGTCATATAAGTTTTATGGCATGTCGGAATGTAAGCGTGGCGTCGTAGGATATCGAAAATTCTATAAAAATGAACTAAACGGTAAGACAATACTCGCGATAAATAACAAGCATCTCAATAAATTCCTCCTGACACTTCCTCGACGCATTTCTCGGAGATTTCCGCAAACTTTGTTCGCAACGAAAGTATGTAACAACAGAATCGCGTTTGTAGGCGTGAATTTTTGAAAACTTGCGGTGGTGACGCAAAGGAAAGTGCGCGTACAAAATACTTGTGAGAGAGTAAACCCACGATTTTGCGTGCACACTGAGCGCGACATGAATGCGATGCTGGAAGACGTGTGCGTGTGTGTCTGTATGACGTGTACATGTACATGTGTAAAGTCGTTGAGTGAATCCCGTCGGTTTTCTACTTTTGATTTGATTTTCCTTTTCTAGGAGGAGAAACGCTGTCAAATCGAAATAAATACAACATCGCGAGCTCTCGAAATGCATGAAATATTTTGACTGCGAACAGCTCCGATTGCACAAGTTACATCACAAAAAGAGAGTTACACTCCAGATAAACGTAACTCCAAAATCGAATTTCCTTTTCTATATATTGAACGTGTGTTTCTCTATTTTATGCATGAATCTTTATTCTTGTAAATAATTATATAAAATTACCCACGAAAAAGGATCAGAGCTGCTAAATTGAATTGTAGTTCAAATTTCAGTTGTAACAAAGCAGACAATTCTTTTGATAACATGATAAACAACTATTACAACCGATACTAGAGATATTACATCACTTCAAAAGTTTCTGGATTATAGAAATCTTTGTAAAGTACGCGACTCCTTGTCTCTATCATAATCATTGGATTTGCGGACGCTTTAATCATTTTTATATTTATTTTATTTTGTTATGTACTTAAAACTTTTGCCTTCTTAGAATTTATTGCAAAAGACTTCTTAATAAATCTTTTGTGAAAATTTTTAAGTTTTGCTATTCTAAAATTTTTATATCTTTCAACATTTGCATACATCCGCGAATCCCATGATCCTCAGATCATATTCTTATCGGATTCCCGATTGATCAGATCCTTTGCGTTGCCGCAGATTTATCGATCTGCGAATTTTCCGCGGCTCCTGCCCGATGTGTCGCGTTAGTAGCTTCGATCGGCTGTTGCCTATCGCCATCCCCCGATCTCGCATGTGCATACCGTACCTTAGTCTCGCCTGTATTGCGGAACACAAAACGGAAAACCCTTCCGTCGCTCGCGAGAACCCGATCGATTTTGAGAGCAACGATCGAGTAGAGCTGCACGAGGCAGGCGAGGAAAGCTCGCAAAACCCTGTTGTGGTCCCTGAATCGAGAATGGATCGCCCGTGTTAAGGGCTAACTCCACTCATCCCCTGGCGCTCGCCTGTTTCGTTTTCTTTTTTGTCCATTTTGTTCCTCTCTTTTTTTTTTCTTTTCTCAGATCTCAGGTGACACAAAAGTTCAAGCGTGAGCACGGCACACGGGGCGAAAAGTAAAGCCAGTGGCGGTGCAGTAACTGCAAGCTACTTGCAAGCAACTACTCGATACAGAACAATGGGCAGCGAATTAATGTTAACGCATATATGTATGTACGTAGACGTGTAAAATAGACTAATAAAAATAAGCAAATTATTAATGTCAATACGTAGTTACACATATGCGTATTGAAAATGCGTAATGAGCGTCGATCGAAATGAGAATGATACACACATATATATGTATATACATGTACGCGATGCATAATGTATATATACATATATATATATATACATATATATAAATTTATAATTATAAATATGTATGGCGACGGATAGAAATAGCTTAAGGACCTGCTTCTGGGCCATCGACTGCATCTGCTGGAACATGATCCTTTCCTCCTCTTTTCCTAGAACAGTAGAAAGTAACGAGGAACTCTTGGAGGAACTGTTTGGTTCCAGGTCTTGGATTGTCGGTGTGCAATTGTGAATGTATTTGTACGTGTATATATATATATATATATGTATGTTTGTATATACGAATAAATGAAGTTTGTAAAATAATCGCGACAGTTTGCTCGAGTGCAATCTTTATTAATATCTCTCTAACTTTTTATTACTATTATAATATTATTTATATTATAATTAATGCACATAACATTTTTATTGTAATTAATAAATAATAATGTTAATTAAAAAGATTTATTTCCCCTCCTCTTACTTGTATTAATTACTTATATTCAAATTAATAAAAATAGTTTAAAGAGCAAATTGTTGTTATATTAATGCAGCGCATTTAATTATGTATGCCAAGCGCGTGAACATGGTAATTTACTCTAATACATGTCACGAATTGAAACTTTGTTCATTTAAATGCTGTCTTCTTAACTTTCAAAAGTATTCTTTCTTTCGTAAAATTAACAAGATTTACAAGATTAATATTTTCTTGCAGCATCCTTTTGGATTATACGTTAACTTCACAAGATGAGTCTTGCTTTTATAAAGGTAAAGATAACAATAACGATTTCAAAGTGCAGATTCCTCTGCTTAGATGAATTGCAACTCGTGGATTTAACGAGATAATTTGATGAACCGTTGTAGTCGTCGAGGATGACCGACGGCATTTGCGCGAAAAATGTCATTGCGGAGGAAATTGAATCTTCCCTTGGTTAGAGAAGAACGATACTAGGTCGTATATTTGCAAATGAAATATTCGCAATTTTAAATTCTGTTAACGCGCTAAGTACTTTTGCTACATGAAGTCACTTACAAGCATGGTATATATTTGGAAAAATTACTTAACAATCATGCAAAAAAAAAGAACTTAAATAAGAGCTAAAATATCGCCAGGAAACTATATTTTTGTTTGAAATAAATGTAGATTAAAAATTTGAACAATAGTTAAACTTTAAATTTAAAATGTAAAAATATTTTTGTGTATGTACACTTCGTTATATATAATTATTTTTTTGTTAATCCAATGTTTTTAAAAAGTTTATGTATGCACATGCTTTATAGTTTTCTTTTCCCGGCAGTGCTTTATTTCATTAAAATAAATATTTTCTTCTTTATTAATATTCAAAATGTTAATTTTTATATAAAGCTTATTACGATTTTCTAATTTGTAATTATACTCCTTGAGTTTAATTGAAAAAAATTTTAAAATATTAAAAAAATTGATATTGTTGTTCACAGTGAGTCAT